CAGAACTCAGGAACTTAGAAAGTCCAAAAGTGTATTTTGTCCAACGCCTGCTCAATATTATCGTTTTATTAGCAGGCAGTGTGGATACTTAGAGCTCGGTTGTCTTAGAAATTAATTATATTACGATGTAGTTTTGACATCGTTAAAAATGCCTTGAAACCAGCCTAGACCTTTGAGGTGTACGCGTGAAGTAACCCAAAATGGGAAGCTGAGCGGCCAGAGGTGGTACAGGGACCCTGGCTTAGTTGTGGAACCGAGGCTTTAGTAGTATCACAGAAGCAGGGTTGATTTATTATGAATAATAGATTGTGCATATTAAATGTATGTCTTTGTATGGATTACATTATTGGCACTAAACCACAGTGTATTTTAAATTCTCCTGCATTATGTACAGTATCATACACATAAGATTTCTTTGTTTTAGAAATAGCCAAAGAGGAAATGTGGTATTTCTTTGTAATGATGTGACGAAACTAATGTGGCTAAACAGGAAATGTTTGATCACTGTATAGAATTGATACATGCACTTTAATGGTAATTAGTGGACATTTGGTGTTTACTGACTAGAGTAGAGCCTGTATATTGAGCTAAAACCATACTTTGTTTCAAATATATTAGATGTAAATGCACTATAACTGTTCAGTCTGAAGCACAAGTCCATGATAAGGACATTTCTGTCTGTCCTTTATAACAAATTTATATCCTGTGAAAATTATTTTGAAATTGGTAAAGCTTCATAGATATCTTCCATACAATTTAGGACATGAAATTGCACGTATGGGAAATGTTACACACTGTTAGGATAATGGAATTGTAGTTTACTATAAAGTCTTGCATTGGCATGACACTGGAAGACACCTTTTAAACTCTTTGCAGCGGGTGTTCAGCTTAGATGCCCCGCACGGACCTGGAGGGGTGTTCTTCACGTGGCAAAAAGCATCTGGCGGATTCCTGGCCACGACTGGATACAACCAGGTGGTTAACATTTATGACCGACATGGGAATCTCAGAGAACAAATCCATTTACCTGGGTAAGTAGCTATGCCAGCTTGTTGAAGATGGTAAGGTAAGGGCAAGGATTTACGACAGTGGTGATAATTTTAGAATTTTTTTATTTATCTTATTATTTTTATGACTGTCAATAGAAATTATTAGTGACTGTGAATATTCAGTTGGTTACATTCTGGGTTTTGAGGATGAAAAGGAACAGTTAAGAAATATATTGAGTTACCTCTTACATCTTCTTACGTCAAAGAAACCCATTATACATGACATGTTTTCAGGCATAGGAAATATAGATCAATATGACACATTTTGCATTTTAATTACAAGTGGAAACTCATTCTTTTTTCCAGAGAATATTGATGTAATAACTTATGCATCATTTTTTGTTCTTCCCGTTTCAGAGTGTGTTCGGGCTTCGGTTGGGATAAAGATGGTGCCCTTCTCTCCATTATCAATGACAGATCTCCACTGGTACATGTCTGGGATGCAAATTCTGGTTAGTATTAGTAATATTATATGATCTATTCAGGTGAAAGGATTGTACATTATAAGGTAGATGATCGTTCTTCATTAGAGAGATAAGATTACAAATTGAAAGTCAGCAGGGATGTTAATGTTACTATCATTAACACCTTAAATTGTAATTTTAATTTTATTTGACTACTTGCTTTTTTCCGGTATCCCAATTTTGAATAGTATGATACATATCATTCTGTTCAACTAAAAACATATATAAATGGTTATATCTTTTACACTTTAGTAACAGCAGGGGAACTAAAACTCTTGACCCTCTGAACAGGCCGGGTACAACATCTGGACTCTGGACTACGAGACACACTCACCTTCTTGGCCTGGTCTCGGACGGCTCCTCTTCTTGCTGTCGGCACTGCTAAGGGAAACCTCATGATCTACAACCATCAAACGTCAAGGTAGGCACATATCTAAGGAGAAGATTTGATACTTGTATCTCTTTTGTGATCTAACCCTAGCATCATGTCATGAAGTCATATGTGACCAAATATAAATTAGGAGTTTTGATTGTTTACAACTTGTCTCCATGACCCCAGGCGGATCCCAGTGGTGGGTAAGCATAGCCGTAAAATCCAGAGTGGATGTTGGTCATCTGGCAACCTCCTTGCCCTTGGTGGCGAGGATAAGATCCTGACCATCAGCAGTAGCGAGGGAGACACTCTGCGCACCTCTCCACTTCGAGGGGAACCTTCTGACATCCAGTTTTCAGAGATGAAACAGGATGAGAGAGCAATGACGGAGAATACGGTGTGTAGGAAAGCTTTCTGTTGTTATATATATATATATTTTTTTTATTATTGAGATTTGTGCAACAGTTATATATGATTTTTTGTTTTGTTTTTGTTTTATTGTAATAGGATTACTTACCTTTCTGATCACTCATGCTGCTCTCTCTGTGATTATACTTTTATAACCAGTGACTACTCTGTCTTTTAAAGTTTAGATATAATTTTTTTTTTTCTTTTGAGAGCTTGTCTGTTATGCTGATGGCTTTATTTTTATCCTTTTTTTCAGGTGAGCCTTATTGTGGCTAAAAAGACCCTGTTTTTATACAACCTCAATGACCCAGAAAATCCTATTGAATTAGCCTTTCAGAACAGATATGGCAGCATTGTGGCTTACAAATGGTATGTTGTGTCTCGTAGTATACTATAAAGCTGTTTAATCTTTCATACTAATGTACTATGATGTAATATTTGACATTTAATGTTACTTTGTTGTTGACACTATGAATTTGACACTAAAATGTGAATTGGAAAAGTTTGATGTAATAGATTATTAAGAGTTAATAAAACTTTAAGGATTCCATTTTCTTAAAAAAATTAATATAAGCATTTACATGTTACAGGTATGGTGATGGGTATATTCTCCTTGGATTCTCAGGTGGATATTTTGTGGTTATATCCACACACTTGAAAGAGATTGGTCAGGAGCTCTTTCAGGCCAAGAATCATCGTGACGTTCTTACGGACATAGCCATATCCACTACCCTGAGCAAGGCTGCCTCATGCGGAGATAATGTGTAGGCTATCAGTGGTTTATCTCTGTTTTTTTTATCTGGTTTATTTGGTTTAGTATGAGGAATATTATGCTTTGATTTTGCTTTGATTTTTGGACTTTTTGTTATTATGCTTTACTCTTTTTTATAATGATTTGATATGAGGATTCTTATGTTTTTGTTTTTGTTTTATTGTAATAGGATTACTTACCTTTCTGATCACTCATGCTGCTCTCTCTGTGATTATACTTTTATAACCAGTGACTACTCTGTCTTTTAAAGTTTAGATATAATTTTTTTTTTTCTTTTGAGAGCTTGTCTGTTATGCTGATGGCTTTATTTTTATCCTTTTTTTCAGGTGAGCCTTATTGTGGCTAAAAAGACCCTGTTTTTATACAACCTCAATGACCCAGAAAATCCTATTGAATTAGCCTTTCAGAACAGATATGGCAGCATTGTGGCTTACAAAATGGTATGTTGTGTCTCGTAGTATACTAGTAAAGCTGTTTAATCTTTCATACTAATGTACTATGATGTACTATTTTGACATTTAATGTTACTTTGTTGTTGACACTATGATTTGAACACTAAAATGTGAATTGGAAAAGTTTGATGTAATAGATTATTAACGAGTTAATAAAACTTTAAGGGATTCCATTTTCTTAAAAAAAATTAATATAAGCATTTACATGTTACAGGTATGGTGATTGGTTATATTCTCCTTGGATTCTCAGGTGGATATTTTGTGGTTATATCCACACACTTGAAAGAGATTGGTCAGGAGCTCTTTCAGGGGCCAAGAATCAATCGTGACGTTTCTTACGGACATAGCCATATCCACTACCCTGAGCAAGGCTGCCTCATGCGGAGATAATGTGTAGGCTATCAGTGGTTATCTCCTGTTTTTTTTAATCTGGTTTTTGGTTTAGTATGAGGAATATTATGCTTTGATTTTGCTTTGATTTTTGGACTTTTTTTTCTTTTGAGAGCTTGTCTGTTATGCTGATGGCTTTATTTTTATCCTTTTTTTCAGGTGAGCCTTATTGTGGCTAAAAAGACCCTGTTTTTATACAACCTCAATGACCCAGAAAATCCTATTGAATTAGCCTTTCAGAACAGATATGGCAGCATTGTGGCTTACAAATGGTATGTTGTGTCTCGTAGTATACTATAAAGCTGTTTAATCTTTCATACTAATGTACTATGATGTAATATTTGACATTTAATGTTACTTTGTTGTTGACACTATGAATTTGACACTAAAATGTGAATTGGAAAAGTTTGATGTAATAGATTATTAAGAGTTAATAAAACTTTAAGGATTCCATTTTCTTAAAAAAATTAATATAAGCATTTACATGTTACAGGTATGGTGATGGGTATATTCTCCTTGGATTCTCAGGTGGATATTTTGTGGTTATATCCACACACTTGAAAGAGATTGGTCAGGAGCTCTTTCAGGCCAAGAATCATCGTGACGTTCTTACGGACATAGCCATATCCACTACCCTGAGCAAGGCTGCCTCATGTGGAGATAATGTGTAGGCTATCAGTGTTTTTTTTATCTGGCTTATTTGGTTTAGTATGAGGAACATTATGCTTTGATTTTGCTTTGATTTTTGGACTTTTTGTTATTATGCTTTACTCTTTTTTATAATGATTTGATATGAGGATTCTTATGTTTTTGTTTTACTTGATTTATGGATTTCTTGTTACTATGCCTTACTCTTTCAGTATCAAGATCCATGAACTTGCCGACCTGAAGGAGACTTTTTCCGTCATCACTCTAGATGATGAGAGAGGCTTAGAGTGGCTTGAGTGGTCCGATGATGGCCAGTTGTTAGCTGTGGCTACTCCGGCAGGTGTGTGATGCTGCAGTTGATGCCTTTATAGCTTTCTCAACTCCCCCTTCTGATTTTAGATTAATTTGTAACATTAGTATATTCTTATGGTCTTCTTAATCTTGAATATACAGTGTATTTATGTGTAAACAGGAACACTTATATGTGTTTTTGTTTGTGTGCTGCAGTAGGGTCAAGTTAACAGGTTTTTTTTTTTTTCTGCAGTAGTGAAGCTAAATTAAATTGTGTATATCCCCCCTTCCAGGAAATATTCATGTGTACTTGACAAAGTTACCTGTTCTGGGAGGTGCTCATGGAACTAGAGTGGCTTACCTCACCTCTCTGTTAGAAGTCACAGTATCCAATATTGTGGAGAAAGTGAGTGTGTTTGACTCTTGCTGACATGCGATGCTGTCATCTGTGTATATATTGGATATATTACTTTGTTTAATGGTAAACTTATTTTCTCCTTAATATTAACAGCACTGTTTTCGTATTGTTTTAGTGATGTATAGTAATCATTCTAAATTTCTGAACATCAGTTTATGTCAAATTTTAAAACAGCAGTCATTTGGCTGGTTCATACAGGTTTTAGATAGTGGAATCTTTTGATAATGAGTATTTTTATTTGTATAACAAATAGATAAAAGCTAAAATCTGGAATCGTAGCAATGATGAAAGAAAGAACAGCAAAAGAGAATTGGAGAAATATGTTTTTTCATGCTTAACACATTCTTGTAAACCCACACCAGGAGCACCCAGTGACAGTGAGTGTGGATGTCGAACCGAATTTCCTGGGTGTTGGTCCTTATCACCTCATGGTGGGCATGAACAACCGTGCATGGATATATACCCTTGGGGAAGATACCACAATGCTACTTCGTGACCGAGAGTACCTGGGTACTATAAGCTCTGTCCGGGTGAACACGGATTACGCATCTGTTCTCTACGAGGGCAAGATACAGTTTCATTTGGTAAGTATTTTTCTTTGCATTTTGTTCTGCTAATAAAATGATGGCAAGATTTTATACATACAGGTATTAATATTTTTCAAAGACTGCCATACAGCATGAATACATACATACAGGTCCACATTACATAAGAGCCTTGTAATTCTAATCTCTCGTCCTTTCCAGCTGGAGGGGGAGACTGGAGAAGATGAGGAAAGGGAATCACGACTCTTCCCAGGGAATGATCAGGCAGAGATGCACATCACAGACCATGCCCTGACAGCTGATTTTCTCATATATGCTTCAGATGTAATTTGTCTTTGTTTATGGTCTCTTATGTTAAAGATAGTAGATTGAAGAATATCTGTGGTATTATATTGTAAATTATTTGTCATTCTTTGAAAACAGATTATTCTCACTGAAAAAAGTTATCTGGATCATAAGTTTGCACTCTGTTCCTTGTTTGCATTTATTCTCTCATGGTCTTTGTGGATGATGTACTCAATACTTTTCCAGAATGGGGGAATATATTTCTTCTTCATTGAGGACTGGCGCATTGTTAGCGACTATCGCCACACTTCGGGAATCAAGAACATATATGCTGAACCCTCTGGGCGACGGATTGTATTAGTCGACGAGAAAGGGGAAGGATATATATATAATCCAGTAAGCATTCATTTTATCTCTAGTGTTTACAGGGTGTATTAGGTAAGATTAGAAAATATATATAACAGCTATATAGACCTATATGCTAGGTCTGTAGTGATGGATTTGGCTAGACATTGATTTCATGTCCCTTTGTCATGGTAATAGCTAATTGATATTCCAGGTGGCAGATGATCTCCTTGAGATTCCTGAGTTTCCGGGGTCCTGCAAAGGATGCCTGTGGGAGAACTATCCCAGTGACCGGCATGTCTTCATTCTTTATGATGAAAAGCAACTGTATACATACATCCTTCATCAGGAACATATCAAAGGTACTGTTATTTTCTTCACTTATAAGGTTGCAAAATAAAGACTTTCTTGGCTCAAAGAACAGTATACACAAACATTCAGGCATTTTATCTTCTGATAATTAAAAAAAATAATAATCCTGAAATTTCCTATTACTTCTCTACCCTCTCATTCACAGGCAATCATGTTGAACTAGTGGGCATGACTAAAATTCCCCCAAGTCAAGTTCCCCTGTTGCTCTATAATGGGGAGGTAAGTGTCCTTGTGTTTCACAGACAGGTTCCTCAGCGAGAAAAAAAGGCTGAATCATATTATGAAAAGGAGGAAATTCTACTCTATAAATATGAATGCATGTCAACAACAGTGTTTGGTTGCACAGTAATTTTCATCCTTTGGCACACAGGTGACTCTTCAAACTGCCTCTGGAAGGACAGCTCCTCTCATCCTTTCATCTCATGAAATGGAGGCAAACATTCATGACTACTCCCATGAACAACTGCGCACAGCACTCAAGAAGAATATTTCTCTCAGAAGGTAGTGTAGGCTTGGTATATGGGTTATGTTATTGTCTGGTACACATTTAGGAACTAGATGTCAAACTAGATGTAACTGGGCATTATGTTTTGTGTAATGTGTTTTGTCTTTTATATAATTGAATTGCCAAGATGTTGGAATGCTCTTGTTTCTATGTACACATGTTTATATAATACATTTGGAACACTTTTGTTCATAATGTGCATATGTTTACTTGATACATTTATTTTCTTTTTTGACATATTTGAAGGGTGAATGCAGGTACAGATGTATGGTTGTCAAGTTGATGATATGTCTTAAAAAGATATCCCAGACATCAGTTAATTATTTAATTGCTGAACCCAATATTTACTCATGTGTATAACAGATTCAAGGATGCAAGTGCCATCTGCCAAGTGCTAAACAATAAGGAAGACTGGGTGGTGCTAGGAAAGGCTTGCCTCTGGTGCATAAATCTGGATCTTGGTGAGTTTTGGGTAGTTTGATTATTTTTGTCATTAATTTTAGTATTTAGAAGATTACTTTGTTGTGCATGTTTGGAAAATATGTTGCATTGGATGTGGTTAATGCAGTGCTAAATCCCTATCTGTGGTTCATTCTATGTTCTGAATATATACTTGCGTTAATGCAGTGCTAAATCCCTATCTGTGGTTCATTCTATGTTCTGAATATATACTTGCTCTTTTGTGAGTGCTTGAAAAATGTGATATGGTTAGTGCCATACTGAATCCTACATGTACCTCATTTTTGTCAAGTTTTGTAAATTACTCCTTTGTGAGTAAATGAAAAATATTTGACGATGGATGTGGTTAATGCAGTGCTAAATCCCTATCTGTGGTTCATTCTATGTTCTGAATATATACTTGCTCTTTTGTGAGTGCTTGAAAAATGTGATATGGTTAGTGCCATACTGAATCCTACATGTACCTCATTTTTGTCAAGTTTTGTAAATTACTCCTTTGTGAGTAAATGAAAAATATTTGACGATGGATGTGGTTAATGCAGTGCTAAATCCCTATCTGTGGTTCATTCTATGTTCTGAATATATACTTGCTCTTTTGTGAGTGCTTGAAAAATGTGATATGGTTAGTGCCATACTGAATCCTACATGTACCTCATTTTTCTGAATATACTTGCTCTTTTGTGAGTGCTTGAAAAATGTGATATGGTTAGTGCCATACTGAATCCTACATGTACCTCATTTTTGTCAAGTTTTGTAAATTACTCCTTTGTGAGTAAATGAAAAATATTTGACGATGGATGTGGTTAATGTTATACTTAATTGTCCTTGCTCCCCAGCCATACGAGTGTACCGCCAGCTGGGTGATGTGGGAATGGTATGGTCACTGCAAAGCCTAATGGATATTGAGGATCCAAAGTTGTTGAGTGGACATTTGGCAATGTATCTTGGTGACTTCAACACAGCTCAGGTAAAGTATACAATATTTGCTATTTGCTGAAGTGCTGTAAATATAGGAGATATCTAATCCAATGTTGATTTCTAAAAAAAAGATTCATAAATACAGGTGGTGTATAGGTTGTGTAATTATGTGAATGACTTTGTGAGGATTTTTTTTTGTATTGGGAGGAGCTGGAATGAACTTTTAGACCTAAGATTAGTTTTAACTAGGAAAAAGAATAAAGATTTAAATGATATTAGATTTTTCACTTACTGTAACTGATCTATAGATATGTAATGACTTTTATTTCCATGTTCATTGTGATCAATACATATATAACCTTTATGAATAAAAAAAGAAAAGTGGATAGTTCCAAAATCATGTTTAACACCTGATTGTGCAGGAATTGTACCTGAGCTCCAGCACTCCTGTAGCGGCTTTGGAGATGCGCAGAGACTTGCTTCACTGGGACCAGTCCCTTCATCTGGCTAAGAAATTGGCTCCAGACCAGATCCCATACATCTCAAGGGAGTATGCACAGCAGCTCGAGTTTACGTAAGTTTATCTGTGGATTAGATGTTAGCTTGAGTGTTGATGCTGTGACAGAGAATTTCTGATTTTGCTTCCTTTCATTTATCATCACACTTGATATTAAATCCTAGGGTATATCAAAGGTCAAAATGTTCATTATCATCTCTAGATTACCTGTTTAACCCATTCGCCACACGTGCCAAGAATAGATGCCATACCCACTTTGATACACGTTTATTTATTGTATTTACACATAGATGGCTCTGCAAGTTCTTAATCACCAAATAGCCAGTTATCAAGAACTATCTATTTCATCTGTTTACCCTTTTCCTTCACTTTAGGAAAGGGTTTTTTGTATCATTTTATAGTCAAAAATATACTAATGACAATGCAATAATCCTAACATCAATAATAATAATAAGAGTATCGATAGTAACGGTATTAATTTTCCCGCCAATTCAATGAATGGGAAAATCAGGGTCGGTAACTAGGGCCTACTGATAGACTCCTTGCCGGCTGAGCACATGGGGAGCCATCTGTATGTAACAAAATTCACCAAAAACTACAGGGGACAGAACATAAATCCAGGGCGAATGGGTTAAGGACTGCATTGTATTGTAAAACATGCTCATACTGCAGAGGCGACTACCCAGGAGCACTGACACACTACGAAAGGGGAGTTGTGAATACAGGTGGATCAGAAGAACACAATTCTGCATGCAAAGCCGGCATTGCGCGAACAGCTCTTCGATGTGGCGACATTAGGCGCGGTGTCAACATTGCTGCCGAGATGAATTCCAGGATGCTGAAGAAGGAGTGTGCAGAGATTCTTGAGAATAAAAAGGTTAATAGTCATTACTGAAATATAATCCCTTAAGTATTTAATAATGTTGTGTTTCTTAATAATGAACTGAATATTGATGTAGTATAGGAGTACTTAATATGACCCAATGTTATTAATACTGATCCATAATGTAGTTTTCTTTATTTGAGATAAGATCAGGGAACTGAATATACTTCTTATTCAACCCAGCAATATGCAGATGCAGCAGTACTGTATGAAAGTGGCAACTACCATGAGAAAGCAGCAAGTCTGTACATACGATTGAAGAACTGGTCGAAAGTTGGGCAGCTGCTGGTCAATATCAACTCACCAAAAATGCATCTACAGGTTAGTGAGGCTTTTCATGGTGTGGTTACCAACCATTGTTTTTCCTTACATTTGCCTATTTTGTATGCTTGTAAGTAAGAATCCATGGGAATAATGAAGATGAAATGCCAAAACCTATATAATTTGGATCTCCATACTCTCTAAAACTTATGTTATGTGTAATTGATTGATATGGAATTTGCTCATGACATAACAGACTGAAAGGAGAGAACTTTTATTTGTTAAGAGAAACTGACCATTGTATCAGGTTTTTTATTATATATAGGTAACATTAAAAAAAGGAAATCAAGTGCAATAAAGAAAATAGGAGATAATAATACAATATATTGTATAATATTACATTGTCTGCAATGATTTGTACTAAGTATTTGACATTTTTAAATAAATATACTATTGTTATGATGTCCTCCCCTGTTATACAAACTCATGTAGTGTTGTGGGGTTGTGGGGGAGGGAGTAAAGGGGAACTAATTTGGCACTCTGTAGCATGCACCAAATTCAAATGTTTGGGTAGACTACCTGGAGTACTTGACTTTGTCAGTTGTTAATATGTTTTGAGACCCTTGGACTGTATTTTGCCCCTAGTATCCAGTGTCTTGTATGTCTGTCATCTTAAGGGCAAACTAATGATAATTTATTTATCTGTATGTAATATCCTTTTCCACAGTATGCGAAAGCCAAGGAAGCAGACGGCCAGTACAGAGAGGCAGCCACGTATTATGAGTCGGCAAGAGACTATGAGTCAGTCATCCGTCTCCTTCTGCACAACCTCAATTCTCCCGAAGAAGCAGTACGGATCGTCCGAGAGACCAAGAGTGTGGAAGGGGCCAAGATGGTAGCCAGGTAAGCTTTTGTGAAGGGATTTGTTATTTGCTTTAAGGACTTTCGTAGGCCTAAGGCTCTTATAAAGATATGGGGTGCAGTTTGGTGGAATATTCATTAGTAGTGTGAGCTAGTAAAATATTATATTTCAATTGAATAGAAAAATAACTAGATAAATAAATAAACATAAAAATGTGTATTAGACACCTTAAAAAAGAAGTATCTATTAGACAGCTTAAGAAAAGATAAGTACCCATTGAGACATCTTTATTTTACTATTGTGCTTTAATCTATGACTTGTATAACCCCAGTAGTATAGGAACAATCAAGTAGTAAAATTGAATCCTATAAGAATAAAGTAATAAATGAATGGAAAAAAAAGCACCTCAGCATTACTTTATTAACAACTTGTGGAAAAAGTTTTTTTTCTGCATTTGATAAGCTCCCAGTACCTTGTAAGTTTTTTTTCCAGTGCTATTGGAAAATAGTAATATTGAATTCACAGTTATATTTAAAACTGGAAGCCCATTAGCAGCAATAGGCATCTTGATGTTGCAGTGAGGTGTCTTACTAATTTTCTCAGAGTCTCCCGAAAGCAGGAGGATCATAGTTTACCTCTTTACTTTAATGGACTTTTTGTTTCCTCAGATTCTTCCAGAAGTTGAATGACTACAGTTCAGCCATCCAATTCCTGGTACTCTCCAAGTGCACAGATGAGGCATTCCAGCTGGCACGCACACATGGGAAGATGGAGTTGTATGCAGACATCTTAGGCTCAGATGCCACACCAGAAGACTACAAGAGTGTGGCACTTCATTTTGATAATGAACGCAACCACTTCTTGGCCGGGAAGTTTTACTATTTGTCTGGAAATTATCCAAAGGTATAGGATATTCATAGTTTTTTCCTCCCTGCTATTTGTTCTAGATAATATTTGGGGTAAGATTAATTGAGATAAGTATTTAGGAATTTTGTTGATAGTAGGTGTATTTACTAAATATAAACTAATACATGTATGTTTCTTTGCATCAAATTTCTCTGAAGAAGTTGGGTTACAGTTTCATTCATCATGGATTCATATCCATTTGTAAATAATAACTCCGATACTGTTATGAGTTGGGCTATTGATCGAAATGTACATTCCAACAGGCAGTGAAACATCTGATAAGGGCAGCTCAAAGTTCGGGAAGCGAGGACACAGAGAGCATTCAGCTTGCTATTGACGTGATTGCAGCTGCGAATGATGATGGTTTGACACGACAACTGATTGACTTTTTGATGGGAGAGATTGATGGGATCCCAAAAGTAAGTACTATAGAGAGATTTTTTTTTTTTTTTTTGTTCTTGAATAGGTATGTATGGTACTGACAGAAATCTATTAGGTTGGTTATTAGAATTTGAGTTAGGGATGAATTATTCCTGATAAGTTCCTTGCACATAAAACAATAATCTTTTCTTCCTAGGTCATGTACTGAGCATTATTATACTTACATGAGGCAAGGCTTTTACAAATATCAGGAATCCGCTAAAATAAGAAAAAATGAAGTCTTCATAGCAGATTCATATATTTTTTCAGGATGCCAAGTTCCTTTTCCGACTGTATATGGCCAAGAAGCAGTACAAAGAAGCAGCTAAAACAGCTATTATCATTGCAAGGGAGGAACAGAATTCAGGTATCTTGGACCAGCTTTTCATGTTTTTATGGATCATATTTTGTTTAATTTTATAATTAACCTGTCTGTGCGAGCTCAAGAAATATTATAAGCATATCCCTTAGATAGCCAGGTATTCTTATTTGCTTGAAATATCCCCATCTGTGAGGTACATTACATAGTGTCTTTGGTCATTATCATAAGAGTCAGAGTAAGTAGAGAGCTTAACTTATTCTGACTCTTATGATAATGAACAAAGACACTATGTACTCTTTTCAACCTCTGAAATATCATAGTCACCATAGAAAGTGACAGTAAAGATTGTGAAAAAAAAACAACAACATTTCAGGCAATTATCGCCATGCTCATGATGTGCTCTTCGGGATGTATGGAGAACTAAGGCGACAGAAGCTGAAGATTCCTGCTGACATGAGGTCGGCTCTGTTGCTGCTGCATTCCTATACCTTAGCAAGGCTCCATGTCCGTCGGGGAGACCATCTCAAGGCAGCCAGGATGCTCATTAGAGTGGCCAACCACATTTCTAAATTCCCTGCACGTGAGTGCTGTTATATTCATAGGATTATTTATTTGTTTGTTTATTAATTCATTTGTTATTGCTTTAAGAAGATATATATATAAATGGTGTTCATGTCTCTTGTTTCTTACAGAAATTATCAAAATAGTTTAGAATAAATAACGATTATAATCATTTTTATTCTTTCTTTCCTCTGTTTTCTAGACATGGTCCCTATTTTGACATCTACCGTCATTGAGTGCCAGAGATCAGGACTGAAAAATTCATCGTTCAACTTTGCTGCCATGCTGATGCGACCTGAAACACGAGGGCAGATTGACGAGAAGTACAAGAAGAAGATCGAGGCCATTGTGCGAAAACCTCAGCGTACAGAGGAAGATGAGCCCAGCTCTCCATGCCCGTACTGCTCAAGCCCTGTGGAAGAGACAGTTCTGGAGTGTGGCCAGTGTCAGAACACATTGCCATACTGCATTGCAACGGTAAAGATGGGTTCCTGGTTCAGAAGAGTATAGCCTGTGTGGTTTGTGAATGCTGGGGGGAGAAGGTGGAAAATTTTGATGTCTTGTCTTTGAAATTGTTGAAATTCATTTGCTTTTTTGTTTGTTTTTGTTGTGATAGGGACGACACGTGCTATCGGATGACATCACATTCTGCCCAGATTGCAAGTTCCCGGCTATCAGGACGGAACTCATGAAGTAAGTTTTCTATCTTCACTTCTGTTGTTAGCAAGTTCACCCCAATAGTCTTTCAGCCTTTTTTCATTATTCGAAAGTCATATTCAATTATTGCAAATTTGTAAAGGATGTCAGTGCTGCATTAATTCACATATGGTTATTTTACTTTAATTAAATCAGATTGTATCTTCTTCTTCATCATCATCATTGTCATAATCATCATTGTCACTTACTTCATCATCTTCATCATCTACTTCATAATCATCAGGTCAAAGTCCTTGCCACAACTGGACACAGCCATGATAAAGAAGAGTAGTTAAGTCCATGTCACTAGGCCTTTGATATCCAATAAAAGACAACAAAACCTTTCTTTTAAACTGGATCTGCTGTTCCTAAACTCCACCCACATGTACTGTTGATAGCAGTTGAAACTTGAAAAGAGTGTGGGGGCTCGTTGTGTAAGAGAGTGAAAATTGTGCCATTGTTAAAAAATCACAGGCAATATGGGTAACTATTCATTACAAGTGTCAAGCACAAAGCAGTGAGTAGGACCCTTTTTGCGATGATGCCTCTTGTGGTTAATGGTTAAAAACAAATAAATATGCTAGACATCAGAGGTCATAAAGCACTAAGGTAAGGAATTCTGGTGAAAAAGGGGAAAAATGAGTTAACGATTAGGATAAGTGGACAGAAGAAGGGGATGAAGAAGAGAAGGAAAATGAAAGGAGGAGAAGATAAGACTATACAAAATTATCTGTGGCAATGGTTGAAGTTGGGCCCCAGTCTCTGTCTCTTAACCCATTCGCTCCACGTGGCAAGAATAGAGGCCATGCCCACTTTGATACACACTTATTTATTGTATTTACACATAGATGGCTCCACAAGTTCTTAATCACCAAACAGCCAGTTATCAAGAACTATCTATTTCACCTGTTTACTCTTTTCCTTCACTGTAGGAAACTTTTTTTTGTATCATTTCATTATGTAAAATATTCTAATGACAATTTAATAATCATAACATCAATAACAATAATAACAGTATCGATAGCAACGGTATTAATTTTCCCGCCAATTCAATGAATGGGAAAATCAGGATCGGTAACTAGGGCCTACTGATAGACTCCTTGCCGACTGAGCACATGTGGAGCCATCTATATATAACAAAATTCACCAAAAACTACAGGGTACAGAACATAAATCCTAAGCGATTGGGTTAAGCCCCCCCCCCCTCGGACAACAACAAGCAAGGGATTTGGTGGGGGAGGGGGGTGGCTTTTACGGTGATCACCACACGTTTTTGATATATTCACTATCTCAGTAAGAAATTGTATGTGTCCTTTTCTTAGTCTTCCATTCTTAGAGTGTTAGTTACCTTACTAGTATGAAATGTTCCAGTACTCCCATGAGGACAGTTTTGTGTAACAAATATAATATATTTATCAGTGTCCTATGTTTTTTACTTACACTGTGAGTCTAAGAGTAATGACTGTATTTATCATCTGATAAGGCAAGCTCTTTTTTATTGTTACAATAGGAGTCGAGTCAGAAATTAAGCGACATGTGGGAATAAAAGTACTCTGTTATCTAACTTGGTAGATTAAGGTAAAGCCAGTTTAGATCAAAGGTTCAGAAATATTTTTTGAAAAGAAGTCTTGACTTTGCTGCTTGATATTCATTACTATTTGTTCATAGTGTATAGTAAAGTCAAGTTATTTTTTTTTCCATTCTTTTTTTAAATTCCGTGAAATAATCATTGGTTTGACTGACTTTTCTTTCAAATAAATGTGTTAAACAAACTGACTCAGGTAACAAAATTAAAATTATCTTTATAAGTCTGACATATTTACATACCAACACTACTTCTACCACTTCTACCACCACTACTACTGCCATTATCACCATCATCGCCATTATCACCACTGCTACTACTACCAATATTACCACCACCAAAACCATTACCATCACCACCACCATACCACCACCACAAAAAAAACATTACCACCACCACAACCACCCCTTTTCCCATTATCACCACAGCCACCACCAATCCCACTACCACTACAACTACCACCTTTACCACCATCACAAATTTATCATGTCCTAGACAGATTAATAATTTCTGTTGGTCCTTTTACAGAATGGCAGAGGATGGTGAGGACTGTCCCATGTGCAGTGCAGGGCTTGAATTGGATAAACTTGCATTGGCTACCAACTGGAAGTCTATTGTTGATGCAGAAAGTGAAGATTAAATTGCAGTTGATACTTACAGATGAAATATACATATATAAATATGTATGTCCACACACATGTATGCATGTATACACGCGTGTACGCATGAGAGCGCGCACGCGCACACACACAAACACAGACACACACAGACACAGACACAGACACAGACACAGACACAGACACAGACACAGACACACACACACACACACACACACACACACACACACACACACAGACACAGACACAGACACACACACACACACACACACACACACACACACACACACACACACACACACACACACACACACACACACACACACACACACACACAAAATAAAAAAAAAAATATGATGCACAGCAAATATTAGGTGATTTCCGTCCAGGATTTTTATACATTTAATTGATCTGTTAAAATGTGATACATATTATTTTAACTCTTTCACTACACTAAGATTAAAAGGTATTTGTATGTTTGATCTAAATATATATATTAAATAAACAAAATTATCACTGTGGAAGTAAGAAACACTATAAGTAAGAAACCATATAATTTGAAGAATAGAATTTATTCATTACTGCACAAGGGTAATGATAGGAGGCATGCAGTTGGGTCATAACTTCTCTGTCACAGACGGAACTTGTAATACACATTCCTGGAAGCACATGGTCACAGGAGGCAGGTGATGACATTATTATGGTAATTTCCATGTATCAGATGTAACTGAATCTTGTGCTTTCAGAAATGTACATTATGACTGATTATTATACATATATAATTCTATAAGATAATGCATAATACATGAAAAAAAATGAAAAATCAAAGCGGACTTAATATTTAAAATGACTCTTGTACAATATTGACTTCTAAGAAGGAATTGGTACTTTTGTTTAATCTTACATATACATTTTTTTTACTTTCTATTAGAGCTTAGTATTTTAAATTGTCTTATATACACATTATAAATAACGTAAATGTAAACCATTGATTGTGCATGCGTTTGTCACTCATATTTACACGTTTATTTATTTTTAAACAGTGAAGCTTTCATATTATACATGGTGCTGCTCATGTTGTGAAATCAGAACATATGAAATGTGTATTAACCGCTATTGATGAGAGTAAATTAGTTTCTTTGAGTTCACTTTCATTAAGTGATCATGAGTTCCTTA